TAACGGGCTTCAGTTGTGACGGTCTGGACATCAATCTAACTGCGAATGAATTGGAGTGTGAATGAGCCTCAGTAGTACGAGCGCGTCTCTGTGCATGAGCCTGGGGCCTCCTGGGGCCTCCTGAAACCTACTGGGGCTTCCTGGGGTCTCCAGGAGCCTCTTGGGACCTCCTGGGACCTCCTAGGAAGGTTTCGTGCCCCAGGGGAGGCGCAACCTATAGCAACAGACGTACATAAAACATTGCGGATTAGAGCCACAGGAGAAGGGCAATGTATATGAACACGCGTAAAACACCAAGGACTCGTGCCCCAGGAGAGGCCCAATACATAGGAACATAAGTAAAACATTTAGGATTGTGTACACAGGAGAAGGACCATCTATAGAAACATACGTAGAACATCAAAGAATCGTGCTCCAGGTGAGGCCCAATCGATAGGAGCATACGTAAAACACATGGGATTGGAGCCACTCCTGTTGCCTTCTGAGGCCTCCTGCTCCTGGGGCCTCTCGGGGCCTCCTGTTGCCTTCCGAGGCCTCCTGGCGCTTCCTGTTGCCTCCTGGGGCCTCCTGTGGTTTCCTGAAGCCTTCTGGAGCTTCCTGGGGCCTCCTGGAGCCTCTTGGGACATCCTGTGGCCTCTTGAGTCTTTCTGTGGCCTCCTGATGCCTCCTGGGACCTCATGTGGTCTCCTGGGGCCTCCTGGAGCCTGTTGGAGCCTCCTGTGGCATCCTGAGAAGAATCTGCGCCCACGAGCCTGGCCACCAAAACAAGCAAACCGATCGAGACATCCTCAAAATCTGGCCCACCTGGGGGGTGAAAATGAGCGCCTCGCTCGAGACATCCTCCAAATCTGCTCCGAAAGCGAAGGATGTTGGGCCCAGAAACAAGCAAACCGCCTGAGACATCCCCACAAAATGGCCGCGAACGAGCCCGTGCAACCACCCCTGGCGGCTCCCCTTAGGGGTGCTGAAATGAGCGCCTCGCTCGAGACATCCTCCAAATCTGCTCCGAAAGCGAAGGATGTTGGGCCAGAACAGGCAAACCGCCTGAGACATCCCCACAAAATGGCCGCGAACGAGCCCGTGCAACCACCCCTGGCGGCTCCCCTTAGGGGTGCTGAAATGAGCGCCTCGCTCGAGACATCCTCCAAATCTGCTCCGAAAGCGAAGGATGTTGGGCACAGAAACAGGCAAACCGCCTGAGACATCCCCACAAAATGGCCGCGAACGAGCCCGTGCAACCACCCCTGGCGGCTCCCCTTAGGGGTGCTGAAACCAGCGTATGAGTAAGTCTGAGTATGAGTAAGTCTGTGTATGAGTAAGTCTGTATATGAGTATGTCTGAGTGTGAGTAAGTCTGAGTATGAGTAGGTCTGAGTATGAGTAAGTCTGAGTATGAGTAAGTCTGTGTATGAGCAAGTCTGAGTATGTCCGACAGGAGGGGAGGAGAAAAGAGGAGGAGGAAGGAGGAGGAGTAGGAGGCGTCCAAGTAATTATTCACTGCGTGGAGCTCCCCATATGTGCATCTACTCGCATGGACCTGTCCGCCGTGAATGTCTAGGCGCAAGAGCTTTCGAATATTAACGGGCTTCAGTTGTGACGGTCTGGACATCAATCTAACTGCGAATGAATTGGATGTGAATGAGCCTCAGTAGTACGAGCGCGTCTCTGTGCATGAGCCTGGGGCCTCCTGGGGCCTCCTGAAACCTACTGGGGCTTCCTGGGGTCTCCAGGAGCCTCTTGGGACCTCCTGGGACCTCCTAGGAAGGTTTCGTGCCCCAGGGGAGGCGCAATCTATAGCAACAGACGTACATAAAACATTGCGGATTAGAGCCACAGGAGAAGGGCAATCTATAGGAACACGCGTAAAACACCAAGGACTCGTGCCCCAGGAGAGGCCCAATACATAGGAACATGAGTAAAACATTTAGGATTGTGTACACAGGAGAAGGACCATCTATAGAAACATACGTAGAACATCAAAGAATCGTGCTCCAGGTGAGGCCCAATCGATAGGAGCATACGTAAAACACATGGGATTGGAGCCACTCCTGTTGCCTTCTGAGGCCTCCTGCTCCTGGGGCCTCTCGGGGCCTCCTGTTGCCTTCCGAGGCCTCCTGGCGCTTCCTGTTGTCTCCTGGGGTCTCCTGTGGTTTCCTGAAGCCTTCTGGAGCTTCCTGGGGCCTCCTGGAGCCTCTTGGGACATCCTGTGGCCTCTTGAGTCTTTCTGTGGCCTCCTGATGCCTCCTGGGACCTCATGTGGTCTCCTGGAGCCTCCTGGAGCCTGTTGGAGCCTCCTGTGGCATCCTGAGAAGAATCTGCGCCCATGAGCCTGACCACCAAAACTAGCAAACCGATCGAAACATCCTCAAAATCTGGCCCACCTGGGGGGTGAAAATGAGCGCCTCGCTCGCGGCATCCTCCAAACCTGCTCCGAAAGCGAAGGATGTTGGGCACAGAAACAGGCAAACCGCCTGAGACATCCCCACAAAATGGCCGCGAACGAGCCCGTGCAACCACCCCTGGCGGCTCCCCTTAGGGGTGCTGAAATGAGCGCCTCGCTCGAGACATCCTCCAAATCTGCTCCGAAAGCGAAGGATGTTGGGCACAGAAACAAGCAAACCGCCTGAGACATCCCCACACAATGGCCGCGAACGAGCCCGTGCAACCACCCCTGGCGGCTCCCCTTAGGGGTGCTGAAATGAGCGCCTCGCTCGAGACATCCTCCAAATCTGCTCCGAAAGCGAAGGATGTTGGGCACAGAAACAGGCAAACCGCCTGAGACATCCCCACAAAATGGCCGCGAACGAGCCCGTGCAACCACCCCTGGCGGCTCCCCTTAGGGGTGCTGAGTATGAGTAAGTCTGTGTATGAGTCTTCGTGTATGTGTACGTCTGGGTATGACAAATACTGTGTATGAGTAAGTCTGTGTATGAGTAAGTCTGTATATGAGTATGTCTGAGTGTGAGTAAGTCTGAGTATGAGTAGGTCTGAGTATGAGTAAGTCTGAGTATGAGTAAGTCTGTGTATGAGCAAGTCTGAGTATGTCCGACAGGAGGGGAGGAGAAACGAGGAGGAGGAAGGAGGAGGAGTAGAGGCGTCCAAGTAATTATTCACTGCGTGGAGCTCCCCATATGTGCATCTACTCGCATGGACCTGTCCGCCGTGAATGTCTAGGCGCAAGAGCTTTCGAATATTAACGGGCTTCAGTTGTGACGGTCTGGACATCAATCTAACTGCGAATGAATTGGAGTGTGAATGAGCCTCAGTAGTACGAGCGCGTCTCTGTGCATGAGCCTGGGGCCTCCTGGGGCCTCCTGAAACCTACTGGGGCTTCCTGGGGTCTCCAGGAGCCTCTTGGGACCTCCTGGGACCTCCTAGGAAGGTTTCGTGCCCCAGGGGGGGCGCAATCTATAGCAACAGACGTACATAAAACATTGCGGATTAGAGCCACAGGAGAAGGGCAATCTATAGGAACACGCGTAAAACACCAAGGACTCGTGCCCCAGGAGAGGCCCAAACATAGGAACATGAGTAAAACATTTAGGATTGTGTACACAGGAGAAGGACCATCTATAGAAACATACGTAGAACATCAAAGAATCGTGCTCCAGGTGAGGCCCAATCGATAGGAGCATACGTAAAACACATGGGATTGGAGCCACTCCTGTTGCCTTCTGAGGCCTCCTGCTCCTGGGGCCTCTCGGGGCCTCCTGTTGCCTTCCGAGGCCTCCTGGCGCTTCCTGTTGCCTCCTGGGGCCTCCTGTGGTTTCCTGAGGCCTTCTGGAGCTTCCTGGGGCCTCCTGGAGCCTCTTGGGACATCCTGTGGCCTCTTGAGTCTTTCTGTGGCCTCCTGATGCCTCCTGGGACCTGATGTGGTCTCCTGGGGCATCCTGGAGCCTGTTGGAGCCTCCTGTGGCATCCTGAGAAGAATCTGCGCCCACGAGCCTGGCCACCAAAACAAGCAAACCGATCGAGACATCCTCAAAATCTGGCCCACCTGGGGGTGAAAATGAGCGCCTCGCTCGAGACATCCTCCAAATCTGCTCTGAAAGCGAAGGATGTTGGGCCCAGAAACAAGCAAACCGCCTGAGACATCCCCACAAAATGGCCGCGAACGAGCCCGTGCAACCACCCCTGGCGGCTCCCCTTAGGGGTGCTGAAATGAGCGCCCCGCCTGAGACATCCTCACAATCTGCTCTCCAAGCGAAGGATGTTGGGCCCAGAAACAAGCAAACCGCCTGAGACATCCCCACAAAATGGCCGCGAACGAGCCCGTGCAACCACCCCTGGCGGCTCCTCTTAGGGGTGCTGAAACCAGCGCCCCGCCTGAGACATCCTCACAATCTGCTCTCCGAAAGCGAAGGATGTTGGGCCCAGAAACAGGCAAACCGCCTGAGACATCCCCACAAAATGGCCGCGAACGAGCCCGTGCAAACCCCCCCTGGCGGCTCCCCTTAGGGGTTGCTGAAACCATGCGTAAGGATGTAAGTTGAGTATGAGTAAGTCTGTGTATGAGTAAGTCTGTATATGAGTATGTCTGAGTGTGAGTAAGTCTGAGTATGAGTAGGTCTGAGTATGAGTAAGTCTGAGTATGAGTAAGTCTGTGTATGAGCAAGTCTGAGTATGTCCGACAGGAGGGGAGGAGAAAAGAGGAGGAGGAAGGAGGAGGAGGAGTAGGAGGCGTCCAAGTAAGAACAAGAACCCCATCTTAGGATATGGGGAATAACAAGAACCCCATCTTAGGATATGGGGAATAACAAGAACCCCATCTTAGGATATGGGGAAAAACAAGCGCTCACCTTCTGCCACGCCCCGACGTGCCAGGGGGCCACGGTGGCAGCGGCAGGCCTCGAGGCTCCCTGCCGCCCCTCGCGGACGCCTGTCGAAGGGGTGGGCCCACCCAGGGTGATGTCCCTCCCCCTCCTGCAACCTTTCCCTGGCTGCTTGCTGTGCTGGCCAAGCAGAAGAGAGTGTGCCCGAAGGCCGAGAAGCGGACAGTGCCTCCACTGGCCCGCCTCCGAGCTGCAGCAGCCGCGGCCGCTGCGAGCGGGCCCCGCGGCAGCCACCGAGGGGGCCTCGGCCGGCGCCCACCTCGCGGCCACCGCCGCCGCCGCCGTCGCCGTCGCCGTCGCCGTCGCCGTCGCCGTCGCCGCCGCCGTCGTCGCCGCCGCCGCCGCCGCCGTCGTCGTCGTCGTCGTCGTCGTCGTCGTCGTCGTCGTCGTCGTCGTCGTCGTCGTCGTCGCTGTCGTCGTCGTCGTCGTCGTCGTCGTCGTCGCTGTCGTCGTCGTCGTCGCCGTCGCCGTCGCCGTCGCCGTCGTCGTCGCCGTCGCCGTCGTCGTCGTCGTCGTCGTCGTCGTCGTCGTCGTCGGCGTCGTCGTTGGCGTCGGCGTCGGCGTCGGCGTCGTCGTCGTCGTCGTCGTCGTCGTCGTCGTCGTCGTAACGCACGGATTGCAAGATACGTGATGCAATCTACGCGTGGGGCAATCCATCATCTACTGTGTATGTGGAGCAACATCTATGTCGTGTAACGTATACGGTGCAACGTATGTGAAGCAAGGCAAAGCACTGGAAACCATCAAACAAGTCTAACGACATGTAACGCAAAGCGACGACGAGCAAACCAGAGCAATGCCAAACGTATCCAAGCTTTGCAATGCAATCTGCGCCACGTGGTAGTGTACGCCACACATGGGCGGGGGGCGCCACACATGGGCGGGCTCTTTGGCGCACCGAGAAACCGGCGGCACGTGGTGCGCGGCCTGTGGGCGGGACCCTATGGCCGCATCGCAAATCTGTGCCAGTACGCAACGCACGGGCGGGACGCTAAGGCCGCATCTGCACATTTGCGGCAGTGCGCAGCGCATGGACGGGACGCCACGGCCGCACCGAAACCTCTGCGGCACCTCGTGCGCCGCGCACGGGCGGGACGCTACGGCCGCACCGAAGAATCTCCGCGGCACCTCGTGCACAGCGCATGGGCGGGGTGCCATGGCCGCACCGAAATCTCCGCGGCACCTCGTGCGCAGCGCATGGGCGGGGCGCTAAGGCCGCACGGGAGAATTTGAGCATCCCCGCACGCAGCGCATGGGCGGGACCGTACGGCCGCCCCGAAGCATCTGCTGACCCCAACAGGCAACGCAAGGGCGAGACCTTATGGCCGCAGCGAAGCATCTGGGCGGGACCCTATGGCAGCACCGAAGAATCTGCGCACCCTCGCACGCAACGCGTGGGCTGGACCGTATGGCCGCACCGAAAAGTCTGTGGACCCCATCTCCAATCAATTAGAGGCTAAGTAAGACCCCCTCAGTGCAATCACTGTGTGGGCAAAGCGTCTAGAGTGGAGGAGAACTGGCAATAATGGATGTCGAATCCTGCGGTTCGGAGACTCGGGATGCCAGAGGTAATGTCCGAACTGCAAGACAAACACCCAGGTCGGGTGCTCGAGCCTGAAATATCCAAAGTTTGGTGCCTCTGGCCCTCCGCAACCCAGGTCCTGGCCGCCCCGTTTGTGAGGAAGAGGAGGGGGAGGAGGAAGAGAGGACAGGACTGAGGAGAGGAGGGAGGATGAGGCGGAAGCTCATCTATCTCTTCGCCGTCGCCGCCGCCGTCCACGTCGTCGCCGTCGTCGTAGTCGTGGGCGTGGTCGTAGTCGCCGTCGTCGCCGTCGTCGCCGTCGTCGCCACCGCCATCGCCGTCGCACGTTGCCGTCGGCGTCTCCGTCGCCGTCGCCGTGGCCGCCGTCGCCCCCGCTGTCGACACCGCTGCCGCCGCTACCGCCGCCGTCGTCGCTGGTGCCGTCGCCGTCGCCGTCGCCGCAACCGCCGCCGCGGTCGTGGTTGTCGTCGTCGCCGCCGCCGCCGCTGCCGCCGCCATCGTCGTCATCGTCATCGCCGTCATCACCGTCATCGCCGTCATCGCCGTCATGGCCGTCATCGCCCGCTGCCGTCGTCGTCGTCGTCGTCGTCGTCGTCGTCGTCGTCGTCGTCGTCGTCGTCGTCGGCGTCGTCGGCGTCGGCGTCGTGGTCGTTGTCGTCACCGCCGCCGCCGGCGCCGCCGTCGTCGTCGTCGTCGCTGCACGCTTTCGTCGTCCCGCGGCGACGTGCGCGTCCCAGGCGTCGTCCCACTGGCGTTCTCGCACGGCGCGATGGCCCTGCTGGCCCCAGGCGTGCAGGGACGCGACGCGCGCCCAGCCCATCATCTGCTCAGCCTCCTGCTCCACCTGTGGAGAGTGGAAGGGGAGGGAGGGAGGGAGGGCTGATCGCAAGCGCCAGGCGATAACGAATCTGACATATCCCTTGTCACGAACCTGCTCCGATCGAGGCGCATCCAACGATGCAGATTCCGCAGCTCTCGTGTCATGATTCGGTTGCGTGCCTCTCAGTATCAAGACGCTTTGGCCCTGGGTGCCCACAAGCCCCAGGACCGGCGCCCCGAAGAGGCGCCCCCGCAGGCAGTTCCGCGGGCAGGGCGTGCAACTCAGCCTTGCACTGGAGGAAGCAGACGACCAAGGCCGCCGCGGCCAACGTCTCGTCGACGACGCACGCCCACGACCGACGACGACGCGCCGACCGCCCCGCGTCCCTCCTCCCTTCCTTCCTCCCCTCCTGCCCGGCCGCCCCTGCCAGCAGCCCGCTCCTCCTCTCTTCCTGCTCCTCCTCCGCCTGCGCTCGCACTGCCTTGCCCGCGCATGGTGGTCGCCTAAGACGACTGTCTGCACAGGCGGCCAGCCGCGCCACGTGGTGTGGCACCGTGGCCCTCGGCGGGCTGTCCATGCATGGGCCCTGTTGGCCTCGAGTGCCGTCGAGACCGTCCCCTTCCACCTTTTCACCAGTAGGGAAGGGGGAGGGGGAGGGAGGGAGGGAGGGAGGGAGAACGTTATGGGAAGCTTTCGGGAGGGTGCCAGAGGTTCTTGGAGGTTCCGGGAGGAGAGAGGGGGATGAGGACGAGGAAGAGGGATGGAGGAGGGATGCAGGAGAGAGGGAGAACGAGGAGGGATGGCGATGGAGGAGGAGGAGGAGGAGGGGGAGGAGGAGGAGGAGGAGGAGGAGGAGTAGGAGGAGGAGGAGGAGGAGGAGGAGGAGGAGGAGGAGGAGGAGGAGGAGCGCATCTCCAGGGGCGCGCGGCCGAGCCTCGGCGACGACCGCCGCGTGCTCGCCCCCGCGCTCCGCCAGCTCGCCGACGCCCGCCCGCGCAGGCAGCGGCTGCGGAGCGGGCGACGACGACGGCGGCGACGGCGACGACCACGACGGCGACGACGACGACGACGACGACGACGACCACGACGACGACGCTGGCAGCGGCGGCGACGACGAGGAGGGGCACGGGCGCCGTGCGGAGATCTCCTGCGGAGCGGGAGGAGCGCGCCCGAGGCGCGGCGACCGCCCCCCCCCGAAGTCTCGGAGGGCTCTGGACGTTCCCGCAGGGCCTTCGGCACGCGGGGCGCTCTCCATCGGCGGCGCCTCGTCGAGGGCGTTCCCGGATTGTGTCGTCGTCGTCGTCGTCGTCGTCGTCGTCGTCGTCGTCGAACGCGACGACGTCGTCGAGGGCGCCCCCATCGGGGTGCACGGGCCGCCCCGAGCGGCCACCGGAGGCCCGAGCGCTGGCCCGGAGGCCGCTCGGAGGAGCCAGACTGCTGGAAGGCAGACTCTTTCATTCCCGGCATCTCTCCTCCAATTCGGCCTACGGGGGCAATTTTCGGCCCCAGCACCATCAGAAACGGGTTCAGACTTCTCCTCCTCCTCCTCCTTCTCCCTCATCCTCGTCCTCCTCCTTCCTCCCTCCTCCTCCATGCTCCTCCTGCTTCTGCTTCTGCTTCTGCTTCTGCTCCTCCTCCTTCTCCTTCTCCTTCTCCTTCTCCTTCTCCTCCTCCTTCTCCTTCTCCTTCTCCTCCTTCTCATCCTCCTCCTTCTTACCCTCCTCCCCGTCCCCCCCCTCCTCCTCCTCCTCCTCCTTCTTACCCCTCCCCCTCCTCCTCCTCCTCCCCTCCTCCCCTCCTTCTTACCCCCCCCCCTCCTCCTCCCCCTCCTCCTCCTCCTCCTCCTCCTCCTCCTCCTCCTCCATTTCCTTTCCACAGAGCGCAGCTCCCACCGTGGAGGCTCAGGGGCGGGCGGCTGGCAGAAGGACGGCGCCTTGAGGACGCCGCGGCCGTCGCAGTTGCACGTGCCGAGGAACGCCTTGTCCAAGTCAAGGCCTCGGAAGCCCTCCTCCGTCCCCTATCCCCCTCCGACCTTGCCATTCATGTTCCCGCTCCCCTACCCTTCCCCTCCCTCTCCGCATCCCGTAGAGCTCCCACCCAACCCGCTGGCGCCCCCCCAACCCCCTAGAACCCCACAAACCTCCTTAACATTCTCCTCCTCCTCCTCTACCTTCTTCTGCTCCTCCCTTCGTCGTCCTCCTCCTCCTCCTGCTCCCATCCGCTCCTGCCTCCTCCTCCTCCTCCTCCGTCCTCCATCCTACCCTCCGCTCCTCCTCCTCCTCCCTTTCCCCTTCCTCCTCCTCCTCCTCCTCCTCCTCCTCCCCCCTCCTCCTTCTCCTCCTCCCCCTCCTCCTCCTCCTCCTCCTCCGCTCCTCCTCCTCCCTCCTCCTCCTCCTCCTCCTCCTCCTCCTCCCCCTTCTCCTCCTCCCTCCTCACTCCTCCTCCTCCCTACTCGTCCTCGTCCCCGTCCTCCTCCTCCTCCTCCTCCTCCTCCTCCTCCTCCTCCTCCTCCTCCTCCTCCTCACGCTTCCAAGCCAATCCGAACGCCCAATCTGCTGTCAAGGGCTCCGGAGCCCGCATGAAAAAAGACGACGAGGTCTGGTAAATGGGGAAGTGGAGGTGAAGGAGCTCGGCCCGATTGACAGGTGCCAGTCGGGGCTGGACAAAAAACAAACCCAGCCAAGAACAACCCCCCCTGCTTCTCACCCTCCCCGATGCTTACCATTTTTCAACTTCCCTCGGGAGCGGCCAAAATCGACCCTTTCCATGACGATCTCTGTCCGTGAGGACCCCCTCGCCTCCCCAGAATATGTGGGTAGAAGACCAGAGGGTATCTACGCGGAGGGCAAGCAGAAGGAGCTAGGACGCAAGGTAGGGATGCTAGACCTTCGGACGTCCACGCTGCAACAAAATTTGGCGGTGACGGGTCCAGACACACAAGGACAAACAAGGATGACGGAACAACCGTGTTTGACTGCAGGCAGTAGGGCGTCCCTGATTTCCTGTACCTGGTTCCTCCTCCTTCTCCTCCTGCCCCTCCTCCTTCTCCTCCTCCTCTTCCTCCTCCTTCTTGCTGTACTTATCTATGCTTGATCCATCGCCTCACTTCAATTTCTCAGGGGAGCTTTGCAGGGAGGGAGCAGGGGTGGAGGAGGATGGAGGGGAGGGGGGAGGAGGATGGGAGGGTCCTGTGGATCAGCAGTTGTTGGCATGCATGCATGCGTACATGCATGTATGCATGCTTGCATGCAGGTGTGACTGTATGCATGCATGCATGTGTGCATGTATGTATGCATGCATATGTATATATATGTATATATACACAAGTGGCTGTGCCCAGGCTCATACAAAAAACTGAAAAGTCGTTTCGAGCAGGAAGACACCATGACGGCGGGATCGGAGATGGAGAAGGGAAAGCTGGCGCGGCGCCGCCAAAGCGGCATCGAGTGCAATAGCGGGGTCGCACTCGAACGCAAGCGGGGTTGCCACACCTTGCGATGTGTGTGCCACGGGCCCTCAAGAAGCCTCAGGAGGCCCGACCAAGATGCCGGAAAATATTCCAGGAGGCCCCAGGAGGGGTCGTGTGGGATCGAGGTTGCGAGGATGTCCATGGAGGCCTAAGGGGGCCCGACCAGAAGGTTGCAAGAGGCTCCAGGAGGCCGAAGGAGGGCACGTCTGGGCTCGAAGGTTCGAGGATGTCCATGGAGGCCGCAAGAGTCTCCAGGAGGCCCGACCAAGAGACCGCAGGCCCAGGGAGGCCCCAGGAGGCCCCGGGAGGTTCCAGGAGGCCCCCAGGAAGCTGCGAGGCGGGGTCTGGGGTACCAAAAAATATGTCGGGGCTCGATTTTCGGAGGATGTCTCAGGCGAAACCGCCATTCTCTGAGAATCGGGGTCAACATTATTGGAATTACAATGTGTTTTTTGAAGGTTTTATGTTAGAATGTTGAAATTCCCATGTGTTTTTGGACCCTGACGTCACGATCTGTGTGAGGGGTGCCAACGATTTTCAGAATTTCGAGGATGTCCCTGGCGAAACGGCATGACAAATCGCGAACGACGCGGCGCGTATACATTAATCGCCTCTGAGCTCTACTCCTTCGGAGAGGTGCGTATGAGAACATTGGTGTGTATATATATATATGTATGAATGTAGGCATGCGTGCATGTATGCATGTATGCTTATCTGTATGTTTGTATGCATGCATTCATGAATGTATGCATACCAGTCTGTGTGTATGGATGTATGTTTGTATATATGTATGTATGCATACATGTATGCATACACACACGCATGCATGCATTCATGTATACGTATGTCTATGCATGTATGTATGCATGCATGCATGTATGTATGTATGTTTGCATGCATGACTATATGCACGCATCTGTATGCATGCACGTGCATGCATACTTGCATACACGCATGTACGTATGCATGCATGCATATAGGTCATGCGTGTATGGTAATTCGGTGTGTATGTATGTAGGTAGATAGGTAGGCCGGTAGGTAAGCATGCACGCATACATCTACACACATCGGGAACGTTTTATGCCGATCGCAATGCCGACTAACGCGAGAAACAATTCTCAAAACAACGTAACATTCCGCGGGCTTGCCGCCGACACTTCCGATCAAGGGCGACCCGCTGGAGCTCCGCCGCATGAGATGAGGGTTGCGGTGCTGGCCGCAACACACGCGTTCACATTGTACTGGTTTTACGCACCATGGTGCTCACTCACATAAGCGTGCACAAATATGTTCAATCATCTTGTCCAACGTACCCGGAATCACGGAAATATGTACCGTGTATTCCCTCGCCGTCGTTGCTCATTATAATGCCGAACCATTTACCGATACAGAACAACATTGTTTCGGACTGCCACGTCAATGCAACATGCCACTGGCATGACTCTCGTCCGTTGCGGACCCGATAATCTCGCTCCGAGCGCCGATCAGATAATCACTCAAAGAAGCGTGCACATGCATATTCAATCACCTTGCCCAGCGTTCTCGTAATCTCGCATCTATATACACACATGTATATCGAACTGTTGTTAACCATTGCGAAGCACTTACTTCAACCAAGAACAGCATGGTTGCCACTTGCCCAAGTCAATGCAAACATGCCACTGGTATGGCTCCTGTCTGTAGCCAAGACCGTTCACGTATTTTGATGACCGGATGACCTTAACTCGGAGAACGACTGGCTGGACAATTTGCCATTTCCGCCGAACAAGATTTCCATGACATTGTGCACCATCGACCTGGTCATTTGGTATGGGTACGCGAAGCAAGATTGAAACTGAGTGCAATTAAGACCACCGTCTATTGACCAGAAATCACTTCCTCACCTTTGAGAGGGTCGCGTAAAGCGCCGCGCCCGCAGTGCTAAAGCGATGCACCCCGTAGGGCAGTGTATGCGAGTGCTGATTCTCCCCTGTGCCTGGAGACACGGACGTCCAAACGTAAAGTTCTGTGCCCCTTTGGCCTCCAGTCGCATTGTCACGAGATGAAAGCACTCCTCTGGCCATGTATCGCGCGCTCTATGCCTGCAATACTTGCCCTGCTCCTTCATCACAAGATGTCCGTCCTGCGCTTTGTAAGCATCACATGAGAAGGAGTGGGAAGGGGCGGGGGCGAGAGGGGATCGGGACAAGGGTATTGGGGAGGAGGGGCAGAGCAGCAGGATGAAGCGGAGATGATGCGAAGGGCATTCAGGGAGGAGGAAGCTAAGGAGCAGGACGATGACGCTGATGATGGGGAGGAGAACGATCATCTGGATGACGAGAGCGAAGGCGAGGGCCAGGGGGCGGAAATCGCAGGGAGGGAAAGCAGTAGGAGAACAGGAGGGTGAGTGGCGGCGGGACGGCTAGCACATGAGCAATCCGATAGCACCAGCGGGGTACGCGCACGTTTTTTCAGGGCGTGGCTCGCCCTTGTCTCACAGCGCGATCAAATCAAGCGGCTCAGAGAGCAGAGGGCGAAAGGGCGCCGACGCTTCAGAGAGAGAGGCGACATCAAGGCGAGAGGTGGCCGAGGATGGCGTCCAGCGCCGATCCAAGAGATCAGCGCGAACCTCCAAACGTATATGTCTGTGCTGTCCTTCTTCCTCGAGTGGATCCCCTCCCCTCCCCCTCCCGGCCCGTCCCCGTCCCCGTCCTCTCTCCCAGCCGGCGGCTGCTCATGTAGTGCTCAAGCCCCTACTGCAGGTCCGTGCCGTGTCGACCCTGGCGTTGGTTCCCGACACCGCGCTGGATCGTTCAACCTTGAACGATCGGCCGTCTCCGCAACGTCCGATCGTTCAACATCGACCGATTCTGGGCCGCCGGCGGCGTTCAACCTTGAACGTCGGCGGCGGGGTCGCCGCCGGTCGACACGACGCGAACCTACCGTAGGGACCTTGCATCCCGAGAGGAAACGCCCAAATCAAACAACATCCAGGAGACACAACTGCGCCAAGCAAGCATCGGGCCGCATCGGGTCGTCAGAGCGTCAAAAATCCACTCGGATCGGGCGGGCCGAGCCCGATGTCGAATCGGATCGGTCGGATCGAAATGGGTCCTGAGCGCTGGAGTCTTACGGTCCCCTTCCCTCTCGGCCCTCTCCTGCCCGCCCCCCCGCCGCGCGCCCCCACTGCCCTGCCCCTGCCCCTGCCCCTGCCCCTGCCCCTGCCTCTGCCCTTCCTCCCTCCCTGCCCTGTCCCTTCCCCTGCCCCTGCCCTTCCCGGCCCCTGGCCCTCCCCTCTCCTCCCTTGCCCTGCATCTGCCCCTTCCCTGCCCACGTCTCGCCCTGATCCCTCACTTCCCCCCTGCCTCTTCCCTGTCCCACAGGAACAAACTGCCCGCACTTCCGCCCCGTCTTCATTCTCTTACTGCTGCTGCTCTCCATCCATTGCCTCTCGGCTCAGAGGCTGGTCGCTAGCCGAGGCTGCGCTCACAGCTGGGGATCAGGCAGACTCGGGCACGACCCCCGAGCCCTAGACTCAGCATGTTCA